TCACTGGAGACGCTGCTGTGTCGTGTGGCTCTCTGGGAGACTCACACTGGTGCTGTGACCCCACAGATTTTCCATCACGTGGCATGCAGAGTCCTGCAGGGGAAGAATAGCTGAGGCTAGACACCCCCTTTGGTGTACGGGCAGCTTGTTAAAAATGAGCCTTACATGTCTTAAAGAAGGGACTGGAGCTTCATTCATAAATAGAGGTTACCGCAGAGCAATGGAAGAAGGGCTCGGCTGTGTTCTCCCTGTTCCCTTCTTCCTTCCCCACAACCAACTGAAAACTCCATTTCTTTTGGGCAATAAACCTCTCCCTTTCTGCACAGACACTGCTCTCTTCTCCTCCAGGGCAGGTAAGAGGCTATCTGCCCATGATAAGTCGGTGTCTTTCTTTTCTACCCCAAAAGTGAGAATAAATACAAGAATTACCTGTCTTTCCCAAGTGAGTAGGTGAAGCTGAGAAGCTGTGAACAAAACCTGTCTTTTCTATCCTGTGTGGCATCCTGAAGTGACACAATAGCTGGAAGTATGAGAGCAGTGATGGTGTATCCATGGGATCAGTCAAGCATAGTCATAGTCTTTGGTGAACAATGGCATAATCAATGCCATTGCATTATTCATTATTGTATCATTATTCATATTGTATTACCATTATTCATATCTGTGTATGCAGCAAGGGCAAGGCAATTGCACAGCCCAAATAAGGTGGGAGGACCATTACTATTGTATATGAGTGTCTGGAAATTTGGAGATGGCAGGAGCCATGTAAATTATGTAAACTTCATTCAGCCCCTCTCCCAGCCTCCTGAAGCATGGGCTTGGGGCGTGGTAGTGGGGACAGCACTGTTCCCCCCAGAGATGCCACGCAGACACTTGATGGGTTTCTCACCAAGCTGAAACTTTCAGGCTGTGCATGCAAACTGGTGCTGGCTGAGATGGGGGAGAGCTGACAGCAGTTGTAGCTTTTCCCCTCCCTAGGCCAGGCACTGGAGGAGTGAGACACATACTTAATTGGGGCAGATGCTGGGGGCATTCAAGGATGCTTGCGGACATTACAGTGATGAGGTGGGGGTCCTGGGCTGGCGCACACCTCTTCTGCTTATTCCCTAGCTTTACCCTTGTGGTGGGTTGATCTTGGCTAGACACCAGGTGCCCGCCAAGCCGCTTTGTCACTCCCCCTCCTCAACCAGATGGGGGAGAGAAAAATACAACAGAAGGCTTTGGGTAGAGATGAGGACAGGGAGATCACTCACCAATTACCATCACAAGCAAAACAGACTCAACTTGGGGAAATTAATTTATTGCCTATCAAAATCATGAGTAGGACAATGAGAAATAAAACCAAATCTTAAAACACCTTCCCCCCCACCCCTCCCTTCTTCTCAGGCTCAACTTCACTCCCAATTTTCTCTACTTCCTCCCCCTGAGAGGCACAGGGGGACGGGGAATGGGGGTTGCCGTCAGTTCATCACACGCTGTCTCTGCTGTTCCTTCTTCCTCATGCTCTTCCATTGCTCCAGCCTGGGGTCCCTCCCATAGGAGACAGAATCCCCAAACTTTTACCAACATGGGTCCTTCCCATGGGCTGCAGTTCTTCAGGAACCGCTCCAGTATGGGTCCTTTCCATGCATCCTTTCCACGGGGTGCAGTCCCTCAGGCACAGATGGCTCCAGCATGGGTCCCCCATGGAGTCACCAGCCCAGCCAGCAAACCTGCCCCAGCCCGGGCTCCTCCCCCCATGG